CGGTTCACGATGTGGTTTTTAGGGGGCCTGGGTGCCCCCTGTGGGTCTAAACGCCGGAGCCACAGTACACTGTGGGACAGAAGCGTCGAGGACACCCCCAAGCCCTGCAGGGGTAACGCCTCTTGACCCCCCCCCCTTCCTTCCCGCGAGTTTTTATAGCGGGGGGGAGAGAAAAGGGTTGAGCGCGCCGCTCTACTGCAGCTCTCGAAGACTAGCTCATGCCGTGCCCAGCGACGTGCCCGCCAACACACACCTGCCCCTTGGCCCATAACTCCGGGTGGGGGGGGGGGTGTCTGGGTGACACGCGCTGCGATAACCTGCCCAATGAACTAACTCTTCGGGACAGGCACACCCGGGCTCTCCGCAGTAACAAGCCAGCGGCACCCCCCCCCGGTGCGCGGCCCGCAGACCGCCCCCTTGCGGACTTTTGGCCCCCAACGTAAACTGCCCGTTTGTCGTTTTCTTTACCCCCGACCTCGGGCGCTCCAGGGCAGCGTCCCTGTCCCCGCCCGCCCGTCTCAGCCAGCAGCGCTCCCGTCTCACACGTGTGTGTGTGTGTTTTTGGGGGGGGGGGGAACGGACTCTAGCTGCGCGGCAGCCGCAGGTGTGACGGGAGGCCCCCGCTGTGGGGTAACCCGTCCCGTAGGCGAGGCGGCAGCTCTGTCTTCCCCTCGCCCACCCCAAGCTGCTGGTGCCTGGCTGCTGCTCGGCACCCCACAGAAGCGGTGCCAGCGCCGAGCACTGCTCCTGATTCCCCACAGGCTGCCCGCAGCCCCGTAGCATGAGGGCCGCAGCGGCCGCCCAGTGCAGGTTTACCATAGGTTAGGGGTCCAAAAAGAGGCCGCGGGGGGCGGGGGATACTCACTGGCGTGGCGGGGCATTGGCCGCCCTGTCGCGGTAGCAGGGCGGTTGGCACAAGCCCAAGGCGCAACCTCAGCCACCGAGACCGTGGGCGGGCTTCAGGGGCGGGACCTGGGGCGCAATCGGGGTCCTTCTGAGCAGCAGCTTGGTGCGCTGCAGCGCCCCCTCCCCCCGCATGGTCTAGTAATTGAAAACCGCGCCCCGCCCCAGCGCCGGCTTGTACGCGCCCATTTTGTGTGCCGGGGGCCAGGCCCAGCTGCGGGGTGACGGTGGTTGGGGCATACTGCGGGGAGAGAGGGAAGCAGCACTGCGGGGGCGGGCTGCTGTTTAACAAAAGTAGTTAACAAATTACAGGCTGCTGTAATAACCCATATACCGAGTATTTCTGTTTTTTCACATCTAGCAAAGTTTTGAATTTAAGGTCCAGGCTCCTCTTTTGGAGTACACAGGTTTCCTTTGAGAATGAGGACTAAGAGATCAGTGATCACTTCAGGAAAAGTGTTTACCTACCTGTGATACGATGTTTTTGTCTTTTATCATATTCCTGTGGTACTTATTTAGAAACAGTGATCATCTCCAGTCACCCCCATAGTTGCTTTAGTACACTGCATACAGTGTTCTGATGGACCCATGGATCTTGAAAGGTGGGTTGTGGGAGGTGTTGATCATCATAGGGTATGTCTTCACTACCCGCCGTGTCAGCAGGTAGCAATCAATTTATGCAGGATCAATATACCGTGTCTCCTTAAGACACGATAAATCGATCATCAAACACACTCACCAGCGACTCCGGAACTCCACCAGAGCGAGCGGGGGTAGCGCAGTCGCCAGGGGAGCTGCGGCCGTCGATCCCGCGCTGTCTGGACCCCACCTAATTCGATCCAAGATACTTCAACTTCAGCTACGTCATTCACGTAGCTGAAGTTGCGTATCTTTAATCGATTTCCCCCCCCCCCCCCCCCCCCCCGTGTAGACCAGCCCATAGCCATGGAGATGTGGCTTTAGGTTTTGCATTTGTTGTTCTGACAGTGTCTGGTCCTGCTTTAAGTTAGTGTGTCCTTGGAGCTTGCTTCAGATGATGATCTTGGAGAGATTGGGGGAGGTTATTTCAGGATGTGGTCCCCATCAAGTATGGGTTGTAATTGTTGCATGATACTCCAACTGCGTTCCAATGTGGAGTGGTAGGTGACAACTAGAGGCGTATGGTCAGAGTGAGTTTTATTTCTGTACTGAAGCAGATTCTCCCAGGGTATTTGGGTGGCCCATTCCGTGATGTGATCTATTTCTCTGGTGGAATGTCCTTGTTTGGTGAAGGCAGTTTTGTGTGTGTGTTACAGTATAGGTTTTCTCTTCTGAGCATATTTTCTAGTATCTGAGTGCCTGGCTGTAGATAATAGTTTTCTTGATATGGTTGGAGTGGTTACTGGCTCTGTGAAGGTAGGTGTGGTGATCCATTGGTTTCTTGTATATAGTTGTCTGTAAGATTCCATTGTTGAAGCTGATTATGGAATCCAGGAAGTGGATGCTTGCATTTGTCTCTTATGGCTCTTTGCAGCACACAATATTAAAACACTGTGTGATTGGTTAATAACTTAGAGTGGTTAATAATTCAATCAGGATGCTTTTCCTATGTTATTAACCAATTAAATTGTCAACTGGCACTGAGTTATTTATTTGCTGTGAGAATCACTATATATAGTACTATAGTAAATGAAACGAAGTCACACTATTATGGTTCTTATAGGTAACGTTGATTGCTAATTTGATTCTTGAGCCACTGAGGTCTGAGTATCACTTTTCTAGGGAGAGTTTAAAGGATGGGGAGTGGTTGTTGAAGTTGTGTTTGAAATGTATCAATTAGGTTAGGTCATCTGTCCAGAGGATGAAAATATCATCCATGTATCTCAGGTATACCACTGGTTTCGTGGTACATTTGTCCAGAAATTCTTCTTCAAGATGGCCCGTGAAGAGGTTGGTATATTAGGGAGCCATCCGGATACCCATAGCTATTCCCATGGTTTGGACAAAGTGTATGTTGTTGAATGTAAAATTTTTATGGGTGAGGATAAAATGAAGGATTTTGGTGATGTGTTTGGAGTGGATATCTGAGTGTTGTCCGTTATCTTGCAAATATTTCAGGCAGACAGCGCCATTGTGAGGGAAATTGATGTATAGGGAGGTGATGTTCCTGGTGGCAAGGATAGTGTTAATGTTGCAGTTTTTGGAGGAGGTCAGTCATATCCTGAAGGAAGTTGGCTTTTTGTGTGGTGAGTGGTTTGAGGACAGTTTCTATGAGTCGCAATATTCCTTCAGTAAGAGCGCTGTGGCCAGATATGGGTCTTCCCTCGTATGTCAGGTGGTGGAGCAGTGGGAAATGGGGGGAGGCAGGAAAGGGGAGCAGTGGGGGCAGGGAACTGTATATGTGAATGGGAGGGTTCAGAGCACTGCCAGAGGAGCTCAGTATCTAGGAGCTCAGTATCTCAAAGCAGAAAGCCCTAAGGTGGGGAGAAGGCAGGCACCACCCCCAGTCCTCCAGGAGCATACATAGAACACAAAATTTAAGGCCAGAAAGGATCACAAGATCATCTAGTTTGACCTGTTCATCAGTGGCCCCCAACACCACCCAGCCCCCATACACTAAACCCAGCAATGGAAATGAAACCAAAGTAAAGGAGACCCACAGAAGAGTAGACTATCATGTGCCATAGGCAGCAAATAAGAAGGATCAAGGTGCACCAGTGCTTGAGGCCCCTGCAATGGCAGGGAAATTATTAAATGAGATATACCCAGATAATCCTGGCAAGTGATCCCCACCCACAAACTGCAGATGAAGGCAGCCCCCCCCCAAAGGTCCTGTCAATCTGACCTGGGGGAAAATTCCTCCCTGACCCCACATAGGATGATCAGCTACACACTGAGCATGTGAGCAAGAACCAAACAGCCAAGCACCTAAGAGAATGTTGGTGCAACCTCAGAGCCCTGGCCCGCCCTATATCTATCATCACCAGCCATGTCATCCCTGATGCTCCAGGGAAAGAAGACAAAAACACCTGAGAATGCATAGGGGGATGGGGACAGGGAGGGAATCCTTTCCTGACCCCAGCAGGTGACCAGCTGAAACCCTGAAGCATGAACTTTAGGAACAGAAGACAAACTAGAAATGAAACACATGGCTGTTGAGCTGCGCCCCTTGTCCTATTATAAGCAACCACATCACACAATCCTACTCATAAATTTGTCCAGCTCTTTTTTAAAACTAATTAAGTTGTCTGCCCTCACAACTTGTATTGGAAGGATGTTCCAGGACCTCACTCCTCTGATGGGTAGAAACAAATAGGGATGCACTCACTGAATGAGTTAAAAATAGTATGTAATCATGTAATTTAAGACTATATCATTCACATATGCACAAAGGGGCTGAATAAAGATTTCACAGGCAGCCTTAATATTGGCAATTCCTAACTTTTGAGTGGTTGACTTTGCAACCTTAACATTCTTATTTTGTTTGCAGTAGTTAAATATATCAGATATTTTGAGACACACTCAAAAACAGACATTACAGTATCGCCACTTGTAACAGACAACTTTATTTTTTCAAGCTTACATATATCTAGGCTTGGAAGGATTAGATTTTTTTAAAATTAATAAATGTCTGTAAACATCAATTTCATCTACACACACAAATGAAAATATTTCCATTGATAACTGAAATTTACAGATAGGCAAACTAAGAAAAATGGTGCTTGAGAATGTATTAGATTTTGATTTAAGGATATTCACTTTGAATATTTTGGAGGGAGAGATAGCTCAGTGGTTTGAGCATTGGCCTGCTAAACCCAGGATTGTGAATTCAATCCTTGAGGGGGCCATTTAGGAAACTGGGGCAAAAATCTGTCAAGGACAGTACTTGGTCCTGCTGTGAAGGCAGGGGACTGGACTCGATGACCTTTCAAGGTCCCTTCCGGCTCTATGAGATAGGTGACGTGATGTTGACCATTTGTGTTTTAACAGTTATAAAGCTTTAACTTTTTGAATCTCAACATCAACTTTCATTAAATAATTATTGTCTAACCCACCAAAATTTAAATTGATAAAAATTGAAAAAAAAATGCTTAAAAATAAGCATTATCCAATGAAATTATAAAAGAATAAAAAATCAAATTCTGCCAAGCCTACATATTTTCAATTAGCATTTGAACTTTCTTATACAAAAATATTGTAATTAAAGCTCAAATATTAAAAAGAAACTAATAGTTTATTAGACACCAAAATCATTTTTTTGGTTTAAAGTTCTGCATTTAAGGGACTCTATGTGAGTTACAGACTAAAGACATCATGGACAGAAGCTTACCTTTTTCCTTTCCAGTGTTTTAAGATTTCTGATAGTTATTTCCTGCCACTACCTACAATTTCATTGCAATTAATTTGACAGAACAATTGGTGTATTCAAGACTAAGTTGTTTCATTATATTTCTGCTGAGTCTCTAGCCAGCGATTGATGGCCATTTTCAAAGTCCTATTTGGTGTAAGTATAAGAGATTGGAGAGGGAGATTTGTCATGGGACTAGACCGTCTCTTTTTGCTGATCCAGTTTTCCATTGCCTCTTTTTCATAGGAATAGCCATCTAAAGAGAAAAATACAATTAAAATGTTAAAATTGCACTAACATAGGAATGTCCATCCAAGGCTCTTAATGTACTTTAGATACTAAAGATTAAGCTTCAACAATACCCCCTGGGATTCAGGGAAGCATTATTTCCAGATGGAAAAACTGGGACACAGAGGTTAAGGGACTTGCCAGATCACATGGGATCACATGGAAATCAAAAGATCTTTTTATTCACGACACTCCATGTTCTGTACAGAATGGATATATGGTTCTATATTATCATCTGAGCCTTTATTTCTGCAGCAAAGGTGCAGTTTTTTCATGAAAATGAATAAGTATTCCAGTTTAGATTTTTAACTACAGTGAATAAAGTACACCACCAGCATAATTCTGTCATGTCCTACTGTACTGGTAGATCAACACCAAATATAACTGCAGCAGATTACTTTTAAAATGATGTCAACTGCAGTTAGACACTAAGTATTTTAACATTGTTTTCTATAATTAATTTAAGCCTATTTGAAGCTCGAGTGCAGTTATAAAAAAAATTCTTGCAAATTTCACAAAAGGCTACAGTTACGGCAAAGCCAGTTCACTGATGCCAGTGTTAAAGCCCATGTGTATTAAATGAACCCGTTTTAAGAGAGAATCTCATGGTAGCCCCAATGTGACCAAAGGCTGCCCCAAAATAATTGAAGTGCTGCTGAATCTGTTTCTCATGAAATCAGAGGAAACACTTTAGACTTCAATGCCCAATGTAGCATCCCATGTGATACAGAAAAACAGACAGGATTTAGGTCAGGTCTGCATTGGAAGGCCTTGCCGGGATAACTTTACTGGCATACTATATGGGCAAAGTACTCCTAGTGCAGATGCAGCTTATAACAACAAAACTGCGCTTTTGCTTACTCGAGTCACCTGTGTCTCCATTACCCCCCCCCCCCCGGCATATGAAATAAGTTATACTGGCAAAAGCACAGTCTACGGTAGAGGCTTTTGTTGGCACAGCTATGTCAGTCACAAATCACACCCGACTGATTTTTCAAAATAGAAAAATTTCTAGCATAGACCTGGATTAGTTGTGATGAATATAAACAGAATTCTTTCTTGAGGCTACAGGACACTGACATCTTGAACTAAGGCCTAGTCTACATGTAAAAGTTTTACCGACATAGTTAGACTGATTGGGGTGTGATTTTTTACTGACATGGCTATGCTGGTAAAAGCCCTAGCATATACATAGTTATATCAGTATAACTGCTTATACTGGTATAGCTTATGCCATTTGGAGAGAACCACTATAAGCTATATCAGTAAAAGCATTTTTATATTGATATTACTGCATCTATGCTAGACAGTTTTTCTAGTATATCTATACCAGCATAATTTTATCAACAGAACCCTCCTATTGTAGACAAGGTCTAACTAAATACAGTCTAATATAAGCATACAAATTCTTCCTAAATCCTTTGCTGGACTAAGTAGTCATGGAAGGGACTGCAACTGCATTACTCATAAATTCACATATTACACCCATGAAGTATAGTACATCATCTGTGGAGGGGAGACTCTGTTCTCTGTGTATTGCTTTAAATTTTTATACTAAAACACCAAATAGAAATTAAATATAATAATCATTATGTGTGAAATCCTGGCCCACTGAAGTCAATGGCAAAACTCCCACTCACTTCAATGGGGCCAAGATTTCACCCTACACTTTTATGTCACCTGTCTAGGGATTACCACCAGACAAATCAATATTTAGCTACCAGTGACCATTTATGCATCAAAAAATTGCTTTTATTAAGTATCTGTATTCCAAGTATTTTACAAAAACGTGTTTGTAAAATGCTTTCTAAACAATGACACATTTTAGTAGCAAGTAAATTTGATTTAATCTTTTACTGGATTCCCTTCAACCTGTCAAATAAATGTTCTCAACCTCCTTTATGAGAGGCCGTCTTACTTAAAAGACCACATTTTATCTGTCCTTCGATTAGTGATTTAATCAGCTTTTACTATACACAAGGCATCCCCTATAGAAATAGCATATTCTTCTTATCCGTCCTGGATAGCTAAAAACTCCCAACATGTAAATAGTTATAGAAAAACTAGAAATTGCTCCCAGCAGGGATGCAACAAAATGTAGTTAGCCATCCAAGATAAAAAGCTTCTCTTAATGGCCGTTTTTAAATTTTAATCTTGACTTTCCTTCCTTCTCCCACATAATAGGAACTACAAAAGCAGAGCCCATCATAATCTTCCCATGGGTAGCAAAGCGACTGCTAAGCATTGTTATCACTGACTATTACTGGTCTGAATTCACTTTCTCTGTGATTGAGCTACAGTTAAACCATCAATCATTTTGCTTGCTAGCAAAACTAGTACTATTGTTTTTAAACTTTTCACCTAGTCTAAAATACTATGTAGAATACATACATGAAATCTCAATGTGAGCAACTCTCTGAAATAAAATGTTACGTGAAACCAAGTTCAGATAGCATTAATTTTATTCTTAGTATTTCTCTCGAGAATTTTTTTAAAATGAGCAATCAGCTTTCCATGGAATTAAAAATATAATAATAAAACAAAGTGATTCTGTGGAAGAATTAACATTATTGTCTATTGGTGAACAAATATGTCCCCTTGAGCATTTGATAAGTGAAGAAAGCAGGGATTCTCAGCAGATCTATTCTGTCACTAATTACATTTCAATACAGGCTTTAAAATTGTTTTGCAAAGTTCATCACAAAGCTGTCAAAGGAATCATCAGAGCTGCTAGGCAAAGTCCCCTGTGCCCATAGCCTTTCACGTATAAATAAGAAGCACTGAAACAGTGACGTGACTAGCTAGTAAATTGCAACTGACAATCTGCATTTTAACAACACTGCTCACTCAGCTCCTTTTAAAAATTCATGTATGCATTGACGGTTTACTGCAAATGCAGTTGCTTAGCTATGTTTAAGTCAAACACATTT